CTCCCTCAGCCCCCCCAGCTCAGTGTACTGGAGACTCACCTGAGATGTGAGAGACTCCCAGTTCAGGTCCCTTCTTTCCTCAGTGGGGTGGTGGGGGATTTGAACAGGGATATGCACCTCTCAGATGAGTACCCTCATCACTGATAGTCTCATGTGGGGCTCTCTCAGTCTCTTCTGTTGAAGCTGTTCTGCTGTGGCTATTTAAAGTATTGCTGGAACAGGTGAACTCAACCCTGGGTCACCCACCTCCTGGCTGAGCGCTCTAACCACCAGCCTACAGAGTCATTCTCAGGCTCTCTTTCTGGCCCAATGACTCTGGAGAGTGGACTTGAAGTGGGAGGTGGGGGTGTCTCCCACATCCCAGGTGAGTACCCAAACCACTGGGCTAGAAGTAAGGAGGGAGGTTGTCCTCCTCGCACCCCTAAGCTGTCTTGTGTGAGCCCTCGTGCATGGCCTGGTCTGGTAAGTGGCCTCTGAAAATGCTGACTGGATTGGGCCTGCAAGCACGTTAGGCAGAGGGATGCCTCTCTTCTCCCAGCTTGTCTATGGCTGTGGGGCTTAGGTGCTCAGCTATCTAGAGGGAGGTGGCAGTGTGCGTGCTCAGAGTCAGAAACATAGAGACCTTTTGGAACTCAAGCTTCGAGTGAGTTTAGGTGCCTACAGGGTTTGGTGGCCGCTGAGTGGGATTCACTAATTCCAATGCGACCTGATTCTGGGATTTAGGTGCCTAAAGTGACAGGGCTGGCTTCACAAAGGGATTTTTGAGCCTTCGTATCAAGTGTTGTTGGGAGCTAATGCATAACACACAGTTTGGGGGCCAGAAGGAAAAAAAATACTGGCTGGTGACTTGGGCCCCAATCCTACAACTGGATCCACCTAGATGAAACTCACCCCCTCCCCCAATCTGCAAACAAAATCAATCCGATTCCAGTGGTGCTTCATGTAAGCAAGCAGTCTACCCTCCCAGATCCAATTGCAGGATCAAGGCCTAGGTTTGTCGGTCTGCTTCTCTTCCCAGTTTGAGTTTCTTCAAAACTTGCTTATCAGATCTTACTGAGATTTAAAAATCAAGCCAAGTCTGAAAATTGCTTGTAATGTGCTATAACATGCTGCACATAGCGCTTAAGAAATTCCTGTTTGTGTTATATATTGTATTAACTGGCAAATGATTTATAATTGTAAATAGAGGGATTTTTATGGTGCAAGTGCAACCCACGTGCTGGCATTGCAGCATTTAGTGGTGTCAATAAGTGGAAAAAGAGTGGGGGAGGATACATAATTTTTGCCTTTTGTTTTTGGGGCCTTGTTGGAGTTGGGTAGGGTGGTTGCAGGATGGGCCAGAATAATACAGAAATTGGATGTGGAAGGCACTAGGTGTGCTCTAGCTGTTCGAAGCCACTTAAGTGACTTCCATATGCCTAGCAGGACACACTTGGAGTTTCTCTTTTGAGAATGGAACCAAGGGGAGAGGGAGGAGTTGTTAAAGAGGAGGAATCAGACTTAAAAGAATCAGGTATGGCACAGCACAAGGACTAGAAGGGTTTGTTGTAAGGACTGTGGTCCTAGACTGTACTCCTTTCTTGAATTTAGAGTGCAGGATTCCTCTTTTAACTGCAGCAGCAGACTAGAACTTGCTGCGGGCTTTGCAAATTGCAGACTATCATTGCAAGGACTTGGGGGATGTTTGAAGGAAGCTGGGAGACTATCCCTTGTTTCCCAGACTTTAAGGAGCCTGCATGCCTCACAGAAAGCTTGGATACTTCTATAGAGCCTGAAAAGGGTAAATCACTCCTTTGGGGCTCTTCTCCAGGAGGAATCTATGTACATGCACATAATTATATTTTTGCATTTGAACTAGTGATGATAACAAGTACAAAACCTGTCAGGAGGAAGTATCCCCAAAAGTGCTGTGAAAATTGACAATAATTCTAACAGACAGTTGTTTCAAGGGTTGTAAGTACAATTATGTATTCATGTATAGATTCAGTAAACATTTTCCTTTAGAGACTGTTTGCTCTCCTATCAGACTTTAAATCTGTATTATATATGTCCTCAAAAGACACTACTCTGGTCTGTATAACTGCAGAAAGATAAGCTGAGGTAAAGGAAGGGGAAAGAAATACTATACCTGATATTAGCATCTTGCCTTCCACAAACCTGTTGCTAGAATTCTTTGACAGTGTTAACAAGCACGTGTATAAGGGTGATCCAGTTAATATAGTGTACATGGATTTTAACAAAAGCCTTTGACAAGGCCCCACCCCCAAAGGCTCTTAAGCAAAGTAAACAGTCATGGGATAAGAGGGAAGGTCCTCTCATGGTCAGTAACTGGTGAAAAGGAAACAAAGGGTAGGAATAAGTGCTCAGTTTTCAGAGTGCGGAGGGGTAAATAGTAGGGTCACCCAAGGATTTGTACTAGAACCACTGCTGTTCAACATATTCTTAAATGATCTGGAAAAGGGGTAAACAGTGAGGTGGCAAAGTTTGCAGATGAACAAAATTATTCAAGATAGTTAAGTCCAAAGCTGACTCTGAAGACTTACAAAGGGATCTTACAAAACTGGGTGATTGAATTTCATCTGCCGTTTTGTTGCCCAAAGTAAGGCACATTGGAAAACCTAATTAGCTGCTGCTACTCAAAGAGATCTTGATGTTATCATGGATCGCTCGATGTGCAGCAGCTGTCAAAAAAGCTAAAAGAATGTTAGGAACCATTAGGAGAGGGATAGATAAGACCGAAAATATCATAATGCCACTATATAAACCCATGTTATGCCCACACCTTGAATACTGCATGCGGTTCTGGTCCCCCCATCTCCAAAAAGATATTAGAATTGGCAAAAGCACTGAAAAGGGCAATAAAAATTACTAGAGGTATGAACCAGCTTCCATATGAGGAGGAATTAAAAAGACTGGGATTGAGGAGGAAAAGATGTCAGCTTAGAAAAGATGTCTTTGGGGCATACGATAGGGGTCTATAAAATCATGAATGTTGAATAAGGAAGTGTCCTTTGCCCCTTCACGTAACAAGAAGCAGAGGTGACCCGACTGAAATGAACAGGCAGCAGGTTTAGAACATAAGGAAGTACTTCTTTACACAATGCACAGTCACCCTGTGCCAAGGGATTTGTGAAGGCCAAAAGTATAACTGGGTTCAGAAAAGAATCAGGTCCACCAGTGGCCAATAGCCAAGTGGTCAGGAATGAAACTCCATGCTCTGGGTGTCCCTCAACTGAAGCTGGGACTGGTTGACAGGACAGATCACTCAAAAATTGTCCTGTTCTGCTCTTTACCTCTGAGGCACCTGACACTAGCCACTGTTGGAAGACAGGATACTGGGCGAGACTAGTCTGACCCAGTATGGCTGTTCTTATAAGCACATGATGGTGAGTGTTCTATCTTAACGCTAATATTCTTGACTGAGAAATCCTGGACAAATAATCTGTGTTGTGTTCTATATGTTCTGAGTGGTTGCTTTCCCAGTCTTAAAAGAGGGAGATGATAGAATATTCTTCTGTGTAAAGAGAAAGGTAATAGTTGGCTGTTTGTAGCAACTTTGAAATTTCAAGTTTATAAAGACAAGGCACAAGACAAATTTCAACTTTCTCCTTGAAGACAGACAAGTACAGTGTACAGATGGAATAGGCGAGTATGAAGTGATAACAGCATGCTTCCAATTTAAAATTCCTTGAGCTTGAATTTATTTAGCTGCTCATACCTATTTCAATAAATTTCATGAAGGAAGTATACAGAATGCTCAGTCTATGATTGTATGAAATCGGAATCATATGGTCAGTGGTTCTTATAGGCATTCTGGGAGGAAGAAAAGGTCAGTAGACCTAAAAATCTGTTTTCTTTACTTAAAAATAAAATTGGTTGCAGTCCGTAGAGGACAGACAGGCTGTTCCAAAGATGATATTCCAGCAACACAGCAACAATAACTGTAGAAGACAAGGAGCCTAAGGGTATGTCTACACTACGGAATAAGGTCGAATTTATAGAAGTCGGTTTTTTAGAAATCGGTTTTATATATTCGAGTGTGTGTGTCCCCACAGAAAATGCTCTAAGTGCATTAAGTGCATTAACTCGGCGGAGCGCTTCCACAGTACCGAGGCTAGAGTCGACTTCCGGAGCGTTGCACTGTGGGTAGCTATCCCACAGTTCCCGCAGTCTCCGCTGCCCATTGGAATTCTGGGTTGAGATCCCAATGCCTGATGGGGCTAAAACATTGTCGCGGGTGGTTCTGGGTACATATCGTCAGGCCCCCCGTTCCCTCCCTCCCTCCCTCCGTGAAAGCAAGGGCAGACAATCGTTTCGCGCCTTTTTTCCTGAGTTACCTGTGCAGACGCCATACCACGGCAAGCATGGAGCCCGCTCAGGTAACCGTCACCCTATGTCTCCTGGGTGCTGGCAGACGTGGTACGGCTTTGCTGCACAGTAGCAGCAACCCATTGCCTTCTGGCAGCAGACGGTGCAATACGATTGGTAGTCGTCCTCGTCGTGTCCGAGGTGCTCCTGGCCACGTCGGCTGGGAGCGCCTGGGCAGACATGGGCGCAGGGACTAAATTTGGAGTGACTTGACCAGGTCATTCTCTTTAGTCCTGCAGTCAGTCCTATTGAACCATCTTATGGTGAGCGGGCAGGCGATACGGACTGCTAGCAGTTGTACTGTACCATCTTCTGCCAGGCAGGCAAGAGATGAGGATTGCTAGCAGTCGTATTGTACCATCTTCTGCCAGGCAGGCAAGAGATGGGGATAGCATGCAGTCCTTCTGCACCATCTGCTGCCAGCCAAAGATGTAAAAGATAGATGGAGTGGGTCAAAACAAGAAATAGACCAGATTTGTTTTGTACTCATTTGCCTCCTCCCCTGTCTAGGGGACTCATTCCTCTAGGTCACACTGCAGTCACTCACAGAGAAGGTGCAGCGAGGTAAATCTAGGCATGTATCAATCAGAGGCCAGGCTAACCTCCTTGTTCCAATAAGAAAGATAACTTAGGTGCACCATTTCTTATTGGAACCCTCCGTGAAGTCCTGCCTGAAATACTCCTTGATGTAAAGACACCCCCTTTGTTGATTTTAGCTCCCTGAAGCCAACCCTGTAAGCCGTGTCGTCAGTCGCCCCTCCCTCTGTCAGAGCAACGGCAGACAATCGTTCCGCGCCTTTTTTCTGTGCGGACGCCATACCAAGGCCAGCATGGAGGCCGCTCAGCTCACTTTGGCAATTAGGAGCACATTAAACACCACACGCATTATCCAGCAGTATATGCAGCACCAGAACCTGGCAAAGCGATACCGGGCGAGGAGGCGACGTCAGCGCGGTCACGTGAGTGATCAGGACATGGACACAGATTTCTCTGAAAGCATGGGCCCTGCTAATGCATGCATCATGGTGCTAATGGGGCAGGTTCATGCTGTGGAATGCCGATTCTGGGCTCGGGAAACAAGCACAGACTGGTGGGACCGCATAGTGTTGCAGGTCTGGGACGATTCCCAGTGGCTGCAAAACTTTCGCATGCATAAGGGCACTTTCATGGAACTTTGTGACTTGCTTTCCCCTGCCCTGAGGCGCATGAATACCAAGATGAGAGCAGCCCTCACAGTTGAGAAGCGAGTGGCGATAGCCCTGTGGAAGCTTGCAACGCCAGACAGCTACCGGGCAGTTGGGAATCAATTTGGAGTGGGCAAATCTACTGTGGGGGCTGCTGTGATGCAAGTAGCCCACGCAATCAAAGATCTGCTGATATCAAGGGTAGTGACCCTGGGAAATGTGCAGGTCATAGTGGATGGCTTTGCTGCAATGGGATTCCCTAACTGTGGTGGGGCTATAGACGGAACCCATATCCCTATCTTGGCACCGGAGCACCAAGCCGCCGAGTACATAAACCGCAAGGGGTACTTTTCAATAGTGCTGCAAGCTCTGGTGGATCACAAGGGACGTTTCACCAACATCAACGTGGGATGGCCGGGAAAGGTGCATGATGCTCGCATCTTCAGGAACTCTGGTCTGTTTCAAAAGCTGCAGGAAGGGACTTTATTCCCAGACCAGAAAATAACTGTTGGGGATGTTGAAATGCCTATATGTATCCTTGGGGACCCAGCCTACCCCTTAATGCCATGGCTCATGAAGCCGTACACAGGCAGCCTGGACAGTAGTCAGGAGCTGTTCAACTACAGGCTGAGCAAGTGCAGAATGGTGGTAGAATGTGCATTTGGACGTTTAAAGGCGCGCTGGCGCAGTTTACTGACTCGCTTAGACCTCAGCGAAACCAATATTCCCACTGTTATTACTGCTTGCTGTATGCTCCACAATATCTGTGAGAGTAAGGGGGAGACGTTTATGGCGGGGTGGGAGGTTGAGGCAAATCGCCTGGCTGCTGGTTACGCGCAGCCAGACACCAGGGCGGTTAGAAGAGCACAGGAGGGCGCGGTACGCATCAGAGAAGCTTTGAAAACCAGTTTCATGACTGGCCAGGCTACGGTGTGAAAGTTCTGTTTGTTTCTCCTTGATGAAACCCCCCGCCCCTTGGTTCACTCTACTTCCCTGTAAGCTAACCACCCGCCCCTCCTCCCTTCAATCACCGCTTGCAGAGGCAATAAAGTCATTGTTGCTTCACATTCATGCATTCTTTATTCATTCATCACACAAATAGGGGGATGACTACCAAGGTAGCCCAGGAGGGGTGGTGGAGGAGGGAAGGAAAATGCCACACAGCACTTTAAGCACAGCACTTTAAAAGTTTACAACTTTAAAATTTATTGAATGACAGCCTTCTTTTTTTTTTGGGCAATCCTCTGTGGTGGAGTGGCTGGTTGGCCGGAGGCCCCCCCACCACGTTCTTGGGCGTCTGGGTGTGGAGGCTATGGAACTTGGGGAGGAGGGCGGTTGGTTACAGAGGGGCAGCAGTGGCAGTCTGTGCTCCAGCTGCCTTTGCTGCAGCTCAACCATACACTGGAGCATACTGGTTTGGTCCTGCAGCAGCCTCAGCATTGAATCCTGCCTCCTCTCATCACGCTGCCGCCACATTTGAGCTTCAGCCCTGTCTTCAGCCCGCCACTTACTCTCTTCAGCCCGCCACCTCTCCTCCCGGTCATTTTGTGCTTTCCTGCACTCTGACATTATTTGCCTCCACGCATTCGTCTGTGCTCTGTCAGTGTGGGAGGACAGCATGAGCTCGGAGAACATTTCATCGCAAGTGCGGTTTTTTTTCTTTCTAAGCTTCACTAGCCTCTGGGAAGGAGAAGATCCTGTGATCATTGAAACACATGCAGCTGGTGGAGGAAAAAAAAAGGGACAGCGGTATTTAAAAAGACACATTTTATAAAACAGTGGCTACACTCTTTCAGGGTAAACCTTGCTGTTAACATTACATACATAGCACATGTGCTTTCGTTACAAGGTCGCATTTTGCCTCCTCCCACCGCGTGACTACCCCCTCAACCTTCCCCCCTCCCTGTGGCTAACAGCGGGGAACATTTCTGTTTAGCCACAGGCAAACAGCCCAGCAGGAATGGGCTCCTCTGAGTGTCCCCTGAAGAAAAGCACTCTATTTCAACCAGGTGACCATGAATTATATCTCACTCTCCTGAAGATAACACAGAGAGATAAAGAACGGATGTTTGAATGCCAGCAAACATACACTGCAATGCTTTGTTCTACAATGATTCCCGAGTACGTGTTACTGGCCTGGAGTGGTAAAGTGTCCTACCATGAAGGACGCAATAAGGCTGCCCTCCCCAGAAACCTTTTGCAAAGGCTTTAGGACTACATCTAGGAGAACCGCAAATGCCAGGGCAAAGTAATCCTTTCACATGCTTGCTTTTAAACTGTGTATAGTATTTTAAAAGGTACACTCACCAGAGGTCCCTTCTCCGCCTGCTGGGTCCAGGAGGCAGCCTTGGGTGGGTTCGGGGGTACTGGCTCCAGGTCTAGGGTGAGAAACAGTTCCTGGCTGTCGGGAAAACCGGTTTCTCCGCTTGCTTGCTGTGAGCTATCTACAACCTCCTCCTCCTCATCATCTTCTTCGTCCCCAAAACCTGCTTCCGTATTGCCTCCATCTCCATTGAAGGAGTCAAACAACACGGCTGGGGTAGTGGTGGCTGAACCCCCTAAAATGGCATGCAGCTCATCATAGAAGCGGCATGTTTGGGGCTCTCTGACCCAGAGCGGCTGTTCGCCTCTCTGGTTTTCTGGTAGGCTTGCCTCAGCTCCTTCAGTTTCACGCGGCACTGCTTCGGGTCTCTGTTATGGCCTCTGTCCTTCATGCCCTGGGAGATTTTCACAAAGGTTTTGGCATTTCGAAAACTGGAACGGAGTTCTGATAGCACGGATTCCTCTCCCCAAACAGCGATCAGATCCCGTACCTCCCGTTTGGTCCATGCTGGAGCTCTTTTGCGATTCTGGGACTCCATCATGGTCACCTGTGCTGATGAGCTCTGCATGGTCACCTGCAGCTTGCCACGCTGGCCAAACAGGAAATGAGATTCAAAAGTTCGCAGTTCTTTTCCTGTCTACCTGGCCAGTGCAGAGTGCTGTCCAGAGCGGTCACAATGGAGCACTCTGGGATAGCTCCCGGAGGCCAATACCATCGAATTGTGTCCACAGTACCCCAAATTCGAGCCGGCAACGTCGATTTAAGCGCTAATCCACTTGTCGGGGTGGAGTAAGGAAATCGATTTTAAGAGCCCTTTAAGTCGAAATAAAGGGCTTCATTGTGTGGACGGGTGCAGGTTTACATCGATTTAATGCTGCTAAATTTGACCTAAAGTCCTAGTGTAGACCAGGGCTAACTCTTCCTTAAACCACACCTGGGCAAACGCACTGAATAAGTCAGTGTGGCTGAAGTTGAGGAACTAATCTGCCCACAGTTGTGGATAGTGAACAAAATGGAGATCTTTTTAGGATCAACATTTATCAGAAATAGAAACCTAAAATTAATCTCCTAAACATATATCATCTGCCTAATTATTCTCCCCCCCCCTCTCCCCCCAGAAACCTTGAGTACCTATTGGCGCCTATGTGGGCTTAGCCTAAAATTAATTTTTTTTTTTTTAAAATCTTATGCCAATTTAAGACTAATCTTCTAGGCCAACAGTTATTCTTACGACATCATTTATGAAAAAGCCCCATAAAGCAGTGTATCCTTTCTACAGAATTTTTAAATCATCCTTTAGACTAAGAGAGTTCTACACGTGCTTAAGCATTCTACAGGATATTTTCAAAATTACACAGAAGCCATCCAGTTTGTTAAATTTAAACTGGATTCATCCACGTTGTCTCGCTTTTCTGAGAGTGACTTTCTAAAACTAAGTCTGAAGCAAAATTGGTGTTTTTCTCAACATGCTCCAATACATCATCTCCTAACCCTTGACCACAGCTTCCATTCATACCAGTTCCTCCAGCTCACAGAGGTGACTTCTTTGGCTGTTTTTATTTATTTATTTATTTATTTGGCCTTTCTTTGATGGGGAGGAACAACCTGCTATTTTTCAATATGTTTCTTCAAACCTAAAACCTCTCCAACTGAAGAATCTCTATGGGGTGTGAGTCTTTTTGGTAGATCACATTAGATTACTTCCACCAATCATTACTCTGAAGGGACCTTTAAACCATCTCCATGTGCACTGATTATTTGATGGGTGAATCTCCACAATAGACGTCTCGGGCGAGAAGAAGAGATGTCTGCAATGAATCTTCCTATGCATAACTAGGAAGTTCAGTTTGGAAATGCAATATATCTTCTAAAAATGTCAACTGTTTTTCAATGCTTATGAAAGGTGTCCGACTGTGATGTCCTCTATATGTCTGATCCTGTGAGGTGCTAAGCATTTTCAATTCCTATTGACCTCAATAAGTGTTTTGATGGTGTTCAAGTTCTTGAATAGTTAAGCCCTGTATCCACAGGACAAGTATAGCAGACAGGGCAGTGAAAGCTTTTCCCTTCTGCTGAGCTAATGTGCCTTCACGCTCTAGAGCAGTGGTTCCCAATTTTTTTCTGCTCCTTGCGCAAGGAAAGCCCCTGGCGGGCCAGGCCAGTTTGTTTACCTGCTGTGTCCGCGGGTTCAGCCGATCGCGGCTCCCAGTGACTGCGGTTTGCTGCTCCAGGCCAATGGGAGCTGCTGGAAGCGGTGGATTAAAAATCCACTAGGGATTACCCTGATGGGCCACATGCCAAAGGTTGCTGACCCCGGGACTACACCATTACAGTACAGACACCCCAACTCTTCTAAGAAGATTTTAATTCAGCAACACACATTTGCACATGGCTCTGCAATGGAATATACAGAAACGAACATGTATAAAATGACAACTTTTAATAAAAAAGTTAGTCAGCAGCAATGGACATACATAGATTTTGTCAAATAGTTTAGTTTTTCCCTCTAAAGCATTGATAGTTCATAGATGTTTATAGTTTCAATCAATTTGTATAAATATGTTTTTGATACTTGCCTAGGAATAGGACATCTTGGCTTCATTAAAGATATACATACAAATGTGTATAAAAGTGATTTTTCCCCCCCACCCCATTATCTTTCATGAATTCATCAATGGGGGGTGGTTGTATTTTGAACCCTTAAAGGCCTGGAAATTGGTCCTGCAGTTGTTAATCGTGTAAGTGTCCCCTGTTGAAGTTAACGGGACTACTTGCCTGTATAAGGATTACTCATGTGAGTAAGGCCTGCAGTGATCTTCCAGCAGAAGTAGCAAGCATGTCAAACACAAGTGAAAGATATTTACAATCTGTGCAAGTAGCATTTTCTACTCTTATTGATTAAAGAGGTCTGTCTCAGAAGCAATAAACATCAGAAAGGCACTGTGGCAAACATTAGCTGGTGTCTATTACAACTTCTTTTTTCTTTTCCTTTGCAGTTTTAGATCTCATCTAAACAGCAGTACTGTAATAGAGGAGTTCTTGTGAGGAAGGGAAATGTTAGTGGGGATTGAGGGAAGAGAGAGTTCTTGCAGCTTGGAACTGCAATATGGAATTTAGTGCACAAATAAGTCTGTTCTCAAGTTTTCCAGCTCATACAGCAAAAACCTCCCTTCTTGTGCAATCATTTGGTTGGTTTTCTAACTGTAAACAAGTGCCAGCTACTTCCAGTATTATCCCACTCCCCCCCCACTAATAACAATCATAAACGTGTTTTAGTTCCAATAAATGTTACTATATACTGCCGAGGAGTGTAAGAGGGAATTGATATTGAAATAGAGTTGACTACTTTACACAGTTTATCAAATCTAAAGTGAATTAAAAATGCATGGCTGGATTCTCTACCTTGTACCAGTCTTACAACTATAACTCCACTGACTTCATTATTTACATCAGGGAAAGTGAGAAGAGAAAAATCTGGCCTTATCTAAATTTTGGTTTCAGCCACTGATGTAGCTGAAGTGATACCCTGAGGCCAGGTCTACACTACAGAACTTACAGCAGCACAGCTGTACGACCTCCCGTGTAGCTGCTCTGTGCCGATGGGAGAGAGCTCTCCTGTCGACATAATGAAACCACCCCCAATGAGCAGCAGTCGCTATG